TGAATCACAAATCATGAAGTTCACCATCGAGCTTTGATTTATCCAAAGGAAAGGGTAAAGATCAAAGAAAACCCTAAGTGCGCTATGTAACAACACAACTAGAGATCTAAGGTTCGGGGGTTTGTTATACCTAGGGAAGGTGTTAGCATCCTAAGTATCTGTAGTACTCTACAGGAACCTCTTGTTAGTATTTGTGTTATGCTAAAGTTGCTTGCTAAGGAAAAAGTGCTAAGGTAAATATCTAAATTATATACAAAGTATGCTCGCTAAGATATCACATCTCGTGCCTATGTATCCTAACGGGAATGAAATCAGAGCAACCGTAGTTCCTCTAACTAGGGGTGAGGAACTCTTGACTGTGGTCGAGGTTTCAGGGGGCAAGTAAATGTCTGCGGTGAGACACCTACATAGAGTGAGGCGACTCTAAACTAAGGTTAAGTTATCAAGGAAGGAAATGTCCACAGCAGAACGACTAAATAAAGAACGACGACTCCAAGTTCTATGATTAGGATCAACTGGTAAGGGCCTAAAGTTAGGCTAAGAATGACATGGCAGACAACAGAGGAAATTCTTTCCTTTGGAATGCATAAACAATCAAGTAAATTCAAAAGCCAAAAGGGAAACGACGTCAAGGATCGGGAGTTAAACACAGCCAAAAACAAGAAGAATTAGATCAAACAACAAGACTAATGAAAAATGGAAATGTCAAGATTAAATTAAAAATAAAATCAAATTAAACCAAAATCTAGTTAATCAACTAACTAATCTACCTAAAAAAAACTAAAGTATGATTCTAACTAAAATTAAATTAAAATCCTAACTAGAAACTAAATTATTTATTAAAACTAAATTAAAAAATTTAATTAAAGCTAAATTGAAATTCTAATTAAAAACTAAACTAAATTCTAAATGAACTAATTAACTAAAACTAAACTAAATCAATTCTAAATATATAAAACTAAAAGAACTAATTCTAGGGACTGACTTCTAGTAAAAAATTAATTAGATAAAGATAAATAACTAAATCCTAACTAATTAAATCACTAATTAAGCTACAAATAAAAACTAATTAAACTACTTTCTAAATAAACTTAAATGACTAACATATTTTTACTTTTAATTAAAAACCTGACTAATTCTAAATTTTAAAAAAGAATTAAATATATCTAAAATCTAAAAAAACTAACTAACTAAATAACTCTAATATAGTTGAAAACTAATTGACTAAAACTAACTAAGATAACTAGAGCAACTTTAACGCATGGTTGTTAAACTAAAATTCTTTATAGCTTATGTTAGTAATAAAGAATTTGCATTATAGGAGAGCTGACATGGCATCCAAATGAACTAAAATTTAATTCTCATTATCTATATAGTTAACATTAACTATTCATATGAAACCTATTATAATATTATTTAATATTAATAAAATATTCCAACAATATTACAGTAAGGGTATGATATTTGAAAATAGTAACGGTCATATTATCATTTTTTACCTTCTATAAATTCTATAGAAATTTTAATTTTTTTTACACACAGTTTTACTTCTAAATTTTTTCTTTGAATTTCCAATCTTATTTATTTATCAAATGGATCCCAACCAATCGAATCCTTATTATAATTATATTCCTATGAAAATGTAATTTTTTTATGTAGTATTGTTGTGAATTTTGTAATTGTATCATTTATAATTTTATAATAAAATATATTTAATATTATTTTTAAGTTTTTAAGGTAAATTTTATTTTAAAAATTATATATATTTTAATTAAAATAATTAAATTAATGGTAACTTGAATAAAAAATATAAATTGTGGGGTCAAGTTTTGGTTTCTTATAGACAACCACTATTAAAGTAAAAACTACTCAAATCAACTATAAATTTTTTAAATCCTACAAATCACTTTGGGCCCACAAAAAGTATTTTAGTTTACCCATTTAGTTTACTCCTACTAAAGATGAGACTAATAAACTAAAACTAAAATCTAATTAAAATAACTAAAATCTAATATAGTTGAAAACTAATTGACTAAAATTAACTAAAAACTAAATAACTAATTCTGAAAAACAAATAACTAAATAAGTATCTAAAATTCAATTAAAGCTGAAATAATTAAACTAAACTAATTCTAAAAAAATAAATCTAATTCTAAGTAATACTTAAAATAATTTTAAGAAAAAAAGATTTTAAAATGGGATGATGAAATTGACTAAAAACAAAGCACGATTAAATAATGAAATAAAATACTTAACTAGAAGAATGCAGAATGACTAACTTAAACTAATATAAAATGATCAAAGGATCGGAGGGTAAAATTTGGAGTATGACAATACCCAATAAAATACTTCACCTTTTCTTTATATTCGCGACTCTAACCATGGTGAAGCTAGAAGTAATTTGAGAATGCAAATTAGGAATTTCCAAAAGTTCACAATCACCACATTTATTATTGGCCATATTATCCCAAAAGGCTTGAAGGAACTTTTTATTGTAGAAAAATTTGTCCACATGGGAATTTTCTATAGAGTCCACTTATTCCTCCATTAATTGAGTCGCATCCACGAACTCTTTGTTAAGAGAAATGTCATTAGATTCCTTATTCTCTTCAACCACCACTCTATGAGAGCATTAAATTTATTTTGTAGAGTAGGAATTTTAACCACTCCATTAGATGCAGCTTCATAATGCACATTATGGAATGAATGCTTTCCATGAGTAGTGTCTGCATTGGGATCATCTAAGTTTACACCATGAGTTGATTGTTGTGTTTTACAAATGCTTTGTTCAACGCCTAGTGTATTAACATATACCAGTTGTTCCTTTCCTTTAGATACATGTTTCTTGGTTAGGTTACCATTTAAGATCTGAACATAAACTTTAGAGTTTCCTTTCTTGGTGTTCGAAAATTTAGGTTCAATTCTAACCTTTTTGTAGACTTCTATGGAATGGATAACTATATTACGAAAGGAGTATAAGCGAGGTAAGTTCTCATATTATATGTCTAGAAAGAAGTAAAAACAATGCCTCTGAACCAAAATATTGTATGATAAGGGTGCAGAGAGATCTATATCCACTATTACCCTAAAAAATGACCAAATGGACGATCAAACATAGTCTTTGATTCAATGGAATTAATATATATGGGAGTACCCACACTTATTTCGAGTTACCTGTCCTTTCTCCTTAGGAGGAGATGTATTCATAGAGGTCTCTAGGACCTAGGGTTTTGAGTCCCTCTTAGTGGCGTTAATTTCTCCCTTCTTATCAAGGTTATTGACCTCATATCTCTCAAGAGTTAGTAGAGACTCACTCTTTCTTGACTCGCACGTCAAGAATACTACGAGGCGGGTCTCCAGATCATTGCTCAGGAAACGTGACTTATGGGCAAAGGTGTCTGGGTTTTAGACATCCGCAAATATAACACTACAGGTTCATTGGCATAGACAATAATGTTGGGTGGTTCAAAAATTAAAATGATTTTCTGCTAGTAGAAACGAAGAACTCATTTTGCCGTGATTTTGGAGACAAATTCTGCCTCTATCCACTTTGTGAAGTAATCGATTCCTACAATAAAAAACTTCAATTGCATAGGCGCCAATGGAAATTGGCCTACGATGTCCACCCCCATTGGATAAGAGGTCAAGGCAATGTCATGGAATGAAGAAGTTCCGTCGGAGTGCGATGAAGGTCAATGTGTCTCTGACATTGATCATACTTCTTAACGAAAGCCACAATGTCTTTTAGCAAGGTGGGCCAATAATATCCCACCATAAGTAGTTTGTGGGCGGGAGGTCTACCATCAATATGACTGCTACAAGCCATTGGTGGACCTCGACAAGGACTAAGGCAGTCTTATGCTCCCCCAAATATCGTAGCATTGGGGAGCTCTTCCAATCTTATAAATATTTTCAGCAAGAAAAGTGTACTTTGCAGTCTGCTTCCAAACCTTTTTTGCTTCCCCTTCGTCTTGAGAGAGATCATCTAGTGCAATATGTGCAACATCCAACTTGACTCAGGGGTGACTTATAGGGTGTAGATTTTGCCAACCTCAATACTAGGGGCGATGATAGTCTCTTATATTAATGTTCGATAAAACACCAACGACATTGAACTGGCGAGTTTGGACATAAGGTTTCTTCTAAAGCTTTACTCCTCGAGAACATGTTCTACTTCAAATGATGTAAAATGTGTTGATAGATTTTTTTATCTTATGGAGATATCTTATAAACTGCGGCTTTTGGTATAGTATTTTTCGTCAACATGGTTGGGGGACTAACTAGGATTCTCTTTTTTCCTCTAACCTGAAGGCACAAATTTCTAGGGCAAGAACCATGCAGGCAATGATAACTTCGTATTCTGCCTGGTTATTACTGACTTTTAATTTAAACTTCAGTGTTTATTCGATCAGTATGTCACCATGCCTTTCTAAGACTATTTCAACGCCACTTCCATGTTAGAGGCACCATTGACTGATAATGTCCACTCTAAGGGCGTTTCTACGTCCATCGACTAACTAAATTTATCCAAAAAATCTTTTAAAACTTAAGACTTGATACTTCCTCTTGTGACATGTTGGATATCATACTTTGAGAGTTCCACCTTCCAAGACACTATTCTTCCCTCCAAGTCTGACTTCTTAAGGACCTGTCAGACGGGATTGTAAAGAAAAATATAGGTTGTAAAGAGATTCCACTTATGGGGATTTTAAAAAAAGACATGCGGTCGCAGAGAGAATCCAATTAAAATAGACAATCTATTTTCTATTCACGGGTCCAATATAATTTGGGCTAATCCGTTGGGCCATAGACACCGATGAGACAATAGAGCCCAAAACGAAAACCGACGGAGTTCTAGTTTCAGTTGAGAGGGTTTAGGTGAGATCGGAATCAGGAGGAAGAAACAAACAAACAAAGAATTTCGATTTTTCATTCCTCAATTCCTAGAGAACAAAAATTAGGGTTTCAAGCACTGAAAAATCACAACAACAACAACAATAATGGATGTGATAAAAACGCAACAAATTTCATGGAGAGCCATAGAAAAAGTCGTAGTTCACCCTTTAGTTTTGCTCAGCATAGTCGATAACTATAACAGAGTCGCCAAAGACACTCGCAAACGCGTCGTCGGCGTCTTGCTCGGTTCCTCTTTCAAAGGCACCGTTGATATCACCAACAGCTACGCCGGTTAGTTTTTCACTTTCAATTTCATTTTCAATAACAAACTCAACTGTCAATGGATTCTCACTTGTTTTCTTTCAACAGTGCCTTTTGAAGAAGATGAAAAGGATCCTAGCATTTGGTTTCTCGATCATAATTATCATGAATCAATGTTCTCCATGTTTAAGAGAATCAATGGTATACAAGATTTTCGTTGCTTCAACTCTTTCCCTTTTTTGTTGTCAATTTTCTTATTCTTATTATTGATTTCTTCTCTTTTTTTTGGCAGCTAAGGAGCATGTTGTAGGGTGGTATAGTACTGGACCAAAATTGCGAGAAAATGACCTTGATATTCATGGTTTATTCAATGAGTATGTTTCTTAACCCTAAATTGTGTTTCATTTTTGTGTTTGTTGCTGCAATTAGGAGCTTATGATTCAGTGTATTTTCCTTTTTTATAGTTATGACTCTATCAGTAGTATAGTTTTGTTGAGTGAAGTTGCTGTAGCATACTAGCGTAGTTTTTTCCCCGGGTAGAAACCATGTATTCTTTGCGCGCAGCTGACTGCTGACGCTAATCCCTCGAGCCCAGGAGGATCAAAATGGGTGACATAGCTCTCCCTCAAGAGAATTTAACACTGCCGGGTCTCCAGAGCTGGGTTCGAATTCTAGACCTCTGGTTAAGTTGAAAGGGATTCTTTACCATCTCATCCAAGTTCTCACGGATATCTAATGTAGCATAGTTATATTCAAATGAGTAATTAAGATCATGTACATGTTATTTTCTTTTAAACTAAATAACTAATTGTTTGTGAACATGATAGAACAAAAAGTTATAGATGTTGTTTGTATACTTTTTTATTAATGTTCATATCAATTTATGGATTGTTGCAGCTATGTTCCAAATCCTGTTTTGGTTATAATTGATGTCGAACCTAAGGAGCTGGGAATCCCTACTAAAGCTTACTATGCTGTTGAAGAGGTTAAAGAGGTTGGACTGAAATACCCTTTTATCTTTGTTGAAATTATGTACTACGGATTTTATTAATATTGCGTCTTGTGAGTATGGAAGCCATTCTGCTTTATGTGGTGGTTGAAGGAGTTAAGGTTTTCTTAAAATTTAATCTTTAGATGTAGGAACTGATTGATGGAATGTTTTGAATGTAGAATGCTACTCAGAAAAGCCAAAAGGTCTTTGTGCATGTGCAATCAGAAATTGCTGCTCATGAAGTTGAGGAAATAGGTATGTCATGGAATGGAATGCAGAACTTCTGCATGTTCTTTTTGCTTTCTTTTGTATGTTTTTAATCTTTTTTAATTAATATTGAATTTCATTGAATCCCATCCACTCAGCTCCCATAGTTTAAACAATTTATCCTATAAGTTTATATCTTATTTCCTTTGTGCAGGAGTTGAGCACTTGCTTAGAGATGTGAAGGATACAACCATTAGCACCCTTGCAACAGAGGTGCCTTTTTGTTTACACTTGCTATACATTGATGCATTTCTAGCTGGGTTTGGTTTTGTTGTCCTGCTCTGCCCCTAATGTTGTCTTTTTAGACAAGTATGTCATAGATGATTCTTTTTTAATGTGAGGATTAGTACCATCAATGTTGTTTATCATGTAGGTAAGTGCAAAACTCACAGCATTGAAGGGTTTGGATGCAAGACTCAAAGAGATAAGAAGTTACCTTGACCTTGTCATTGATGGAAAACTTCCCTTAAACCATGAGATCCTGTACCATTTGCAGGTTGGTTTCCATAAACATTGTAACTGCCGATTCTCTGACTGTTGTCAAATGGTCTTGGAATTTAGGTTGATATATATTTTTTGCCTATCAACTTATCTCAGTTTAATTCAAAACTGGATTTTAAATCAGTCATCTGACTTTAGCGACTTCAAAAAAATCACTTGAAATGATCCGATTTTTGCTATCTATAGTGTTTTTTGGTGGGTTTACTTTGTTGATATGGTTGACATGTCGCGCTTTATTTTGTTAGGACGTATTCAACCTGCTGCCAAATCTGAATGTCACTGATTTGATCAAGGCTTTTGCAGGTTAAGAATTTTAATTAATATTAAGTATGAATGTAATAGTGCTATGCAATCTCTCTTTTAGATTGTTGATCCTTGTCCTCATTGTGCAGTGAAAACTAATGATATGATGCTAGTGATATACCTATCATCTCTTATCAGAAGTGTAATTGCACTCCACAACTTGATTAACAACAAGGTTAGATTACACTGCTGAAACATGCTGGCTAGTATTTGTCACTGTTGTTTTATGATTTTGGATTTATATTAATGGGTTGTTATTATAGTGCTACAGTAACAAATTTAGAAATGTCCAATAAAAAATAATATATCCTTGTTTAGGGTTGTTAAGATATTGATATTTTTTATAACTTATTTGATAGTATCCTTAGGAATTATGATAGATTGCAGTCCTTTTTAGATTACATCTCGTGTATATAAATAGTTGTGTTCAACCTTTTCAATAACACAAGAAATATTCATATTCAACATGGTATGGTATCAGAATCTACTTCAAGCCACATTGGGCCACCCACCATTTATATCCTTGAACCAAGCCCAACACTGTTGCGCGAGAGAGGGGGGGGGGGGGTGTTTTTAGTTCCACATACATTAGACAATATATGACTTGAACATATATTTATAAGTGGGGCATTCCTCACCTTTTACCAGCGATTTTCATTTAAGCTCATGCAACTTGTGAGTTTGCTTGGTTGTAGTTGTGGTCAAATCAAACTTGTGTGCAATAATCAATCAGCTAAACCACTCCAATCCAGTTTTTCACTAGAAGATAAAACATATATAAGTCGATTGTCATTTCATTAAAGAAAATATTCTCTCGGGAATTATCATATTTATTATAATTGATTTGGTAGTATCTTTAGGAATTATGTCATGTATATAAACAGTTGTTTTCAACATTTTCAATAACAAAAATATTCATGTTATATGTCATGTATATAAACAGTTGTTTTCAACATTTTCAATAACAAGAATATTCATATTCAGTAAGGGTTTTACCATGCTTTGTTCCTTGAGCTTTAGTTAAGTAGTTTGTGTTGTTTTGTTTGGAATTGTTTCTATTGAATTGAAGTTCCATCATAGATAATTATCAAGTGAAACATTTGAAATCATTATTGCGATTTATGTTTCTTAACATCTGAATTATCGGTTTAGATGCTCAACAAAGAACATGAAAGGGAAGAAGACTCAAAATCAGAGCCTGTACCAAGTACAGCAGGAAGTTGAGATTTGAGAGGGTTGTGATACTTGGAGTTCATAAGGCACAGTTATTTAATACAAGCATTCCATGTATTCCTGCATGAACCAAGACAACGCGTTTCTGGTCTCTCTTGAGTATGCCTGCATGGGTTAATGAAATACATGTAATATGGCAAATGATCTTTTAACCCTAGGGATGTTATTGTTTCTTCCTGTGGTTTACTTACTATGTATTTTAATTCTATTGCTCCTTTTTGTCTTTGATTATCCGGTAGCTTCAATCCACTGTTAAAAGGAAATTCCTAATTTTACTATTTTCACAAATGTATCACATCAGAGTTGATCTTTATTTCCATTAGTTTTGTTGATCTCTTGCATCTGCTGAACTGATAACAATTCCACACTAATTTGACATCTAAGCAGGAAAAATAACTAATGAAATAAAACTGATTTTGGAGATCCCCGATTATCACAATGATTGTTTGATCCGGTTTAAAAATCAAGTTGTTGTCACTTCATTAACATTGCGTATCAAGTTATCGTTAAGAATATTTATTCCCTACTATAACTATAGCTGTATTTTTTCTTAAATTATGTCATCAAAACCTTTTTAATGTCAAATAGGAACGCGGTGTTAATTCATTAGCTCTTGATTGATAACTTTGATCATGGAGTTAATTCATGGAACAAGGATTTATCAAAACTGGTGTTAATTCATTAGCTCTTGATTGATAACTTTGATCATGGAGTTAATTCATGGAACAAGGATTTATCAAAACTTGTCATATATAGATATAGATGTAGCATAGATTGAACAACACTAACATTATCAATAACATCAAACCAAATGCTTTTACTACTTTTAACCGCCTAAGGAACAAAACGATAATGCCATCATGCATGTACAAGAGTGAAATGTTAATACATTCAATCCTCCTCAGATAAAACCGATTGTTCAAAATCAGCATCCATAATAACCCCATCCAAAATATGAACAACAATCCCATTTTGTCTAACATCCACAATTTTAGACCTAATCCTATTAACAACCACCATCCCATCAACATCTTTCGAAACATACAAAGAAAACCCAGACAAAGACTCATGGTTCACAACCTCACCAAACCTTAAATCAACCGACCAAACTGTACGAGGAACAGCAGAAAACCCCAACACACGACTCACAATTGCGTAAGTATCATTAAACTTGTCTTGTTTCAAACTATCATCGACATTCAAATGCAGATCACGCTTAAAAGCTTCCTCTGACGGAACAAAAACAGTGAAAGCAAGATCTTGAGGTAACATTTCAATCATCATTTCACCAAACTTGCACAAGTTAAAATCTTGAATGGAGACTTTTCTAGATCTGGTAATGGGGTAAAACCCCATTTTCTGATTCCTCTTGTTTTGAACCTCGGGAAGCTTGAAAAAAGTTACAATAACGATGAAAATGCAGCAAACGGTTACCAGAATGGTGACAAGAGCGATTGAGTGCCTCAAGATTAAACCCTTCTTCTTCATGTTGATAAGTCACGTTTAACAAGACCCTGCTTACGAAGGTTGTAAAGGTGAAAACTTAAGTTTGAAAAGTTAATGGAAAAGAAACAGAAAGTGGTGTAATACCCACTAATAGGAAAATCTTAAAATACAAGAAACTAAATTGATGAAGTTAAACTGTAAAATCACATATCCCAAGATGTTAAAACGCGATTAGTAATGTCATTCAAGCTAGCGATATTGAAATTTAAATTACTCCATTCTCATGATTCTTCATAGTTTAAGCTTTTCATTGGCTTAAATATTTTTTTCTTTTTCTCACCGTACTAAGAACATAAAAGGCATATTATATTTTTAATTTTTTAAGCGAATCAATGTCTCATAACTATTAATTATATCGAAATCTAGGCTTTCATGTATGAGGGACTATGAATTAGAGGGCATGAGACGTGTAAGAGTGGTTTCATGCGACGGCAATATGAGCGGCCCGACCCGACCCGACCCGATCCTACACTTCTTGAGTATGGATCGCAAAACCCAAACCAACATTCTCAATTCCTAGATCATGTAGAATAGCGGACACTACAATTCTTTCATGAAAGCAATCGTTTCTCCTATTAAAAGAGGAGAGTTTCTTAATTCACTTCTTAATACTCTTGCATTTAGTGAATTTTCTTTTATGCCTCATATTTCGAACCCCCTTCTTTGTTGAGCGTAACCCCTAATCTAAACTCACATTAAACCATCCATTCAAACAGTTCAAACAATGTATAAGAGATTTATGTTCAGTTATCCAAGGCAAACGATACGATAGCAAGAAATCGAGGAAGAGAAGAAATGAACTTACGAACTGGAGCTGGTCCGAAGAATCAACTTCAGTGAGGTAACAAGCTTTCGATCCCTTTCCGTGTTTTCTTCTTCGTCACTTGGGTCTACTTCTTCTCCTTTGCTTGTTTCAACTCACATTGCTTGTTTCAACTCATTGTGTGTGAGTGTATGGCTAAGCTCGCCTTACACAGAGCTCTAATGTGAGCTCTGAGAAGGTTTTGATGAAGAGCTTTTAGACAAGGTTAAGGGTGGATTTTTGCAGAGTAACGATAGGGTTTTTTCTCGGTGCCTTTTGCCAATGATTGGGATTGTATTTATAGGGGATTTTAGGGTTTGTCTTGGTACGTGCGAAATCAAAATTTTGCTGATGAAAAATTGTTTGATTCGTGTGAGTTTTTGCGTAGGATGATGAGGTGTATTCTCATGGTACAAATTCGTTAGGTGCTAATACCACGATTCCTGATTCTATGAGATTTGAATGATAGTGACTTCTTCTTGATTTGTCTGTAGTGAGCTTCAAAAATATTTGTTTTTTTTACTGAGTTTTTACTGTGTAAAAATGGTATTTTTACTGTCATGAACTGATACCGTGTAGAAATGGTATTTCTCTTTTTTTTTACTTTGGGAATGTCTTGGCATGACTTCGTCTTTTGCTTGTTGCAGGTTATGGAGCCAAAGCATTTGAATAGAGCCTCACGAATATATCATAGAGAGATGATAAACAACGGTATTCGTTCGACTTTCTTTATGCTTTTGCAATAATGCACCAGGGCAACATAACTTGAAAAGTGAAACTGAATAGCACTTGCTCTCTCTTGCTCTGTTTGTCCTTGATCTTCTCCTTTTTTGCAGGTTTGGGCCATAGGATGAAGGAAAAGAGATACCGTTTGGAGGAATGGGCAGGATTGTGGATTGCTTGCGTTATTCATGAGAAAGACGGTTGGTAAGCTTATTGTATAGCGCTTTGGTGCGGAGGCTTGAAGGACAACAAATGAGAAAGAACTCATTGCAGCAGCCACAGAATGTCAAAAGTTACTTAAGGCGTGAGACTTAGTCAAGTAAGCGAACCGTATAAGTGCAGGTTTTCTCTTTATAGTCATTCCTTAAAATTTTAACGCTGTTCTGCTTATGAACAACATTTTTGTATGGCATTTTGTGCTGATACTTCCTTTCTTCTTATTGGTTCTGCTACTAGGAACTCAACACCATGAGGAAGCCTTCCATTGATGAGGACTTGGAATGATGGCACAATAACGAAACTATCTTTGAGATTGGGACGACTTGGGAAGAAATTGACATTTCCGATACCAACTCAGGTGAATACCACACCCTAACAACACTCGCAGCATGGACATCAAGACCTTTCGCAACTTAAGCTCTAGAGAGCTGTCTTGAACTTGTATATTTTGAAGTTTTTTTTAACACTCTTTTGGGAAATTTGAATTCTGTTGCTTAACTCGTGCTGGAAGTATTTAGTTGACTTAAAAATTTGACTTTGGATTTCTGTCTTCAACTATATAACCTTGTCATGCTTACTTTTTTTTGCAGGAAAATACTATCCAACAGGGCTGTCATGCTTATTGGTTCATCCAAAGGTTCTCTTTAGGAGGTGTCATCCTTGCTTTCGTATGAGAGTTTGGTGCAAATGGTATGCGCGGCTTGAAAGTTGGGTTTCTGTCAAGGCGTATGGTTCTAGTGCGGAAACAAACTCGTGCTCCTGGTTTCTCGATGAAGACCATTCTTGCATTTTGGTGAAGCAACATTTTGATACGTCATGAAGGTAAATTGTCAATGACTGTGTTGCTCTAGACATCATTACTCAAATTTCTTTTGGTTGAAACTTGTTCTTATGCGAGATCAGTTGCCGAAAAGATGCGCTGCTAATGAGATTATTGTGTTTTTTTTGTTTGCACTTCTGCAGGTATTGGCCTTCACCTGATGCAGAACGGCGCGATAACTTCGTATTAAACACTCATGACGTTGTCCCTGTAAGTTTTTACTTTGAACTTGGTTTTTAGTAAAATCTCCATAGGTGCCTCATTATTACCAACACGTTCTCTTCTCTTCCTTGAAATCATCCATTTGCTTTTATGTACTTTAAGATATTCTCCATTTTTATCACCTGCTCATTGAGTGTTTTTATTCAATTTGCAGATTATGTAACGATGGTGAAGATATCTAGGTGGAAAACTCATGAGATACTTAACCCTAAGTTCAAGTATTTGGCATGCTTAAGTTTTGCAATTCGTACACAAGTTCTGTAATTGCGTTTTGAATAAACAAGCGGAATGTGGCCTTCTTTTCTCTTGTAACCCCCTTAAGTTTTGTAGCATTATTAGCTCTTTTTGGGCCCAATTAGTAAAGAAACTTGATTGAGTTTTGACACCTATTTGTGACAGAATTTGTAATTGCCTATGATTTTAGTCCGTGTGACAAAATGGGGTCTTAACCTTTGTACATTGATGGAACAAAATTAAAGACTATGGAATATGGTTTCTTTTTTATACCAACTGTATATTTCCTCTTCATTAGACTTGGGTGCCTAGTGTTCACAAGTAATGGAATCCCATGAAATTGCATACAGAATATATGGTGTTTTGTATTTGCACCCATATTCAATAGTCATTACACGTTACATGCTGGTATATGAATAGGATAATCCTACTCGTACCCGGCTTCTTGGTAGTCTTCCTTATGTCCAGTTACCATCGAATCCAGAAATAAAACTGTAGAACAGATTCAAGGCCAACTTCTAAAATAATTGCCTTAGGAATTGCCAATTAATAAGTTGCTTTTAAAAGAAACCCATTTCCTTTGAAGAACTTGTCATATAATTTGCTCCAATATACCTAGATTACACTTTCCATAGTACTGAGGAGGTAACTTAGTCATGGATGGAATTGAAGCGCGCTGTTTTTTAACCTGGGTTGGCATACTGGAATCTGTTTGCTTTATAGACACACTTTCGATAATTTCATTAATCATGTTCTTTGTGTAGTTAAAAGCTTCATTTTTTTGTCTGGACCTCAAGCTTCTTAGATAACTTTTGGCCAATTCATATTTCCTGAATAAATACCATTTTCTTTTCTTTGCCACAATAACTTGCAGCAATTCTTTCATATCTTGAAAGTGATTCAAATATTGCACCCAAATGAACACTTAGTTTGATCACAAATCGGCCACACTCTGAAAATGAATGATCATGACTTAAAATCACTTATAATCATGGTTGAAACACTCTTGAAGTAAATCAAGACAAGGCTTGAAACGACGTTTTCCGCCACAGTTTATCGATACGCTTGAACCCGCTAAAACATGACTTGAAATTTGCAAGCTAAATCTAAGTTTGTCAAAAACTGATTTACAATCCAAACATAGCTTGACGCTTACAATCAATTCGAGCAAAGCTTGAGGCTAAATCGACCATGTCCAGAAGCATCATGTGAAGTATCTTTGAACAACTTGAATTAGGTGCATATCATAACAAACAACTTGTAGTGAGGTTTAAACAACCTTTAGAGAAGTTTGTAATCAAGTGGAAATAGGGTTTAAATTTCTTGAAAACCAACAAATATGTTACGAAATAGATCCAATCACCATTGACCATATCATATTTGTTTGGCCATAAGAATGAGGATACACATGAGTTTGGGCATAAGGGGCTGGAGGCACGTTCTTCCCACGAGAATTCAACATAAATTGCTAGGGATTATAACCACAATGAGCACACACAAGGTCTTTATAAATGAAGTCTTAGAGAATCATGACCAGAAGTCGTGAAGCAGTAAAACATTCATTAAATATCGAATTAGGACAAATTTGGGGTATGACAATTAGGATCTTTGAAATTTTCTGATTTTATCGACTGATGTTATTACTTTCTTGAGATATGATAAGATTATGAAAGCAGTAAAGTGCAGAAAGTAAATAACACAGAGAAATATCCTGGTTTCCTTCACACTTCGAAGATACTCCAGTCCCCTTTCGCACCGAAAGAGATTTCACTATAGTTAGAATCAGCGTACAACTTTCTTTCTAACCTATAGGTAGATTAAAGGCTCTTAAAAACCTTTAAGAACTAAACACTAAATGCAGGAAGAACAATCCTCTTCAATGCACACACTTGCTTTCAACAATTCTGAACAACAAGGGGAAATAGATACAATCTGAATTTGTAATGAGTTTGAAACCATGTA